GGTCGCAATAATTTCTTAAATATATATTTACATTAAATTTATTGATATTATGTAATATTTTTATTGGCGTATAATAAGGCCATTTATAAATAGTATGAATAATAATATTTGTCTGAAGCATATTTGCCATAGCAACTATCTCCACCTCTGTTCCATAAGTTGCATCTAGGGCCATGCCCGTTCTCTCCAAATATACATCAACGGGTTCTCCCAAAAAACCCTCCATCTGTTCAACAATATCCTTGCTTCTCATAAAGAGACAGCATTGCTGTCTCAGAAAATCATAATGACATTCGTCATCACAAACTTCTTTGCTTATACATCTATAATAATGATTAACAATAATTTATTGTAAATAAAAATATCTGAAGAGACAATTTCCATCACCAATAATCCGTTCGGTAGAATAATCATTTCCAATCACATCCTTATCATATTTTGGATATCTTTTCTTGATCGCAAAATGAAAACGTTCAGAATGATATATTTTCCAATTTCTGTTAGTGGGAAGAAAAAGATTTGTATCCTCCTTCTTATAAATTACAATCTCTAATATAATTTTACCATCTAAAAAATATGTATTAATCTACTAATTATACAAATTTTTACCTTTCTTATTTGCATGCTCACTTCGAAATCTACAATCTTCAAATTGTGAGGCGGGGCAACTATTATATTAAAAAATTAATTTTATCAATTCTTAAAAATATTAGTATAAGGTCGATGCTCTTCAGGCTTTAGCATTTTCAATGCTTCACTGATTGTTTTAACTCCATCATCTAAAAAATATGTATATTAAATATTTTTTTATTATATCTTTTTTGTTTTGACAATTATAATCCTCTCTAACTATCGTATTTAGTAATTTCAAAACTAGACATTTTAAAAAATATTTAATATTAAAATATTACCCTTCATATGATTTTCTTCCGATTTAAGCTTTACATTTTTAATTGCTGGTTCTTGAAAATTTTCTTCATCATCTAAAAAAAGGAATATTATTTTATAATTAAGTCAACTGTATACCTTTAATGGTAGAAGAATGAAACTTTTTACTTGGTAACCTGGGAACTGTTTAAAAGTTATAATAAATTTTTAAAAGTTTTAACCTTTTTCCTGTCGTGCTTTTATTGTGTCATCTTAATAAATATAAAATTAATTTATTTATTAACTATACCTTTTCTTGTAACATAATGTTTTATGTTACAAATATTTGCTCGGGTTTTTATCTGTCCCACAGGCACTCGCTCTACATTTCTTAAATATTATAAATATTTTGTTGTTAAAAATCTTAATTTATACTTTTGTCAATCCCAACTATTGTAAAAGGACCCAACCAATGCTATGTCATTTTCCACCCTTCCTATCAGCTCGACGGCTGTTCCAGATAAGCACCTTATCATTGATCTTATAGGGAGTATTTTTCCCAGTATTGCGGGTTCTGTAATCCCTCTGCTGCTTGAGCTGGGCTGAATTAATATTGCCTATGGCACTATTATATATGTCTTGCATCTTGCAAACAACACTTTGAAAATGTTTTTCCCTATTTATCTCCTCAACATTATCGGGATCTATATCATAATCTTCATCATCCTTAAATATATTTTAAGTATAAAATATATAGTATATGATTTATAATAGGTTTATTATACCCTATAAGCTTGTATTGCTTTTCTACCATACATCAGCTCAAAGGGCGTGAATTTCAAAGATTCATGATCAGATGTGTTATAGGCAAATAATATCAGACAGGGCATCTGTCCAAGTCAATTGATCATCTTTAATACACTTTAGAAGTGCATTTTGGATAGTTCTATTCACCCTTTCAACCATGCCATTTGCTTGAGGGTGATAAGCACTTGTCACCCTCTGCATGGTCCCCACGAGTTTGTGATAATTAGTGCTAACTTCATTCAAAACTCCCGTCCTTGATCATTAATTTGAATCTTAAAACTAAGATTAATATTTTATTATCAAATAAATCATACTTTTCCCCTGCCATATGTGCATAGTATTTTGATACTGATTTAGCAGTTTTTTCCTTTAAAAGCATGGCTACAACATATTTGCTGAAGTAATCAACAGCTAATGCAATATATTTATAGCCATCCTCACTTTCTGGCAAAGTACACAAATCAACTCCTATTTATGACCATACCTATTATAAAAAATTTTTTATTATATTAAAAAGAGTCAATCTCGTTAATTAATTTTAGTGTGGTTAAAAGGTTGAGATGGGCCAAGTAAAAAAATTAATATATGTCGTGTTTGGAAGTTTTAGTATAAAAATAGTTAGATAAATATATTAAATATAAATCTAATAATACTTTTTAAAGATATCACTTTTAAGGATATGACTTTATTATTTCCAAATACAAATCCAAAATGAAAATTGAAAATGAAATTTATAAAAATTACGAGTTTATATATAAAAAAATTGATATGCAAAAAAAAACATTTTATATGCAAAATTACAATAATCTATAGTATTATTCGTACATTTAAGTTCAAAGAAAAATTGTTTATGCAAAATTTAAAATAAACAATAATATCCTTCGCACTTCTTCTTGATTCTACCCCTCATAAACTTCTCCCTTGTCCAACCATAGGTTCTTCTTCTTGTACCGCTAACATGTTGTTGTTTGTGCTAATCGTGGGACATCTCCGTAAAATATGATCCCCTCCACAAAACCAGCAAGAAATTCTTTTTCGAGATCCCCACTCCCGTTCTCTTCTACGATTGTACGATCTGCCTGTGGGTCTATCTACCGTCATCTCTCCATACCTGATCTGGGCCTCCTCTCTGGCGGCATCTATCCATCTTCTCGATTCGGCTGATCCATCAACCATCCTAATCTCGATCTTCAAAATAAAGTTTCCTACTCGCACGTGACGACATCTATCACGGACTTAAGCTAAAAATATACTATATTTATCATTTATTTATCTCCAATAATTCAACTGCTTCCTAATTCTCAATACTCATAATCATTCTCGTATTACCTATGCCTCTCTCATTCTTTTTTATCAAATTGTTCATACCTTCAGCTGATCTATTCTACTAGTGTACTTCATACATAAACATTCTGATTATCATCATTCTCGCAGACTTGTTAAAAGGAACCAATCAATTATGCCTATCAGCATTCTCCACATTCTGATTCTCATAATTCTCGCAGACTTGTTAAAAAACAAATCAATTATGTCTATCAGCATTCTCTACATTCTGATTTTCATAATTCTCGCAGACTTGTTAAAAGGAACAAATCAATTATGTCTATCAGCATTCTCAACATTCTGATTCTCATAACTCTCGCAGACTTGTTAAAAAAAATCAATTATGTCTATCAGCATTCTCAACATCTCAGCAATTTAATCGATTCACAACGCCATAATTACTAACCTAGACACCTAGGTCTTAATTGCTTAATATGCCTCGAAACTAATCCTATTCTTCCTTCAATTCCTACTTCTACCTTCTTTGATCTTATATTCTTCTTCACTATACCTTTCCCCCATTTAACTGGTCCATTAAAAAGTAGTATCCAAACTAGGCTTCCGATCTTAAATCTGTCATTAATTATAACTTCTTTCTGTTCTATTCTTTCTTTCAGAAAATCTACTTCTCTTCTAGTTTTTCTACCTAAAAATATCTATGCTGGTGAGTATCCTTTGCTTCTCTTGGTATTGTTGTACGCTAATAGTAATAACCCCCATTTTCCTTCTCCATATTTTTCCTTTTTTAACAACTCTTAACTAGAGCTACCATTCTCTCCGCTTGTCCATTACTTCTCGGGTAATGTGGTGGTGCTAATAAATGCTCAATCTTCCATCTATCACAAAATTTGTCAAAATCTCTGCCTATAAATGCTGGACCACCATCTGATACTAAGGTCTTCATTAACCCATATTTACTTACGAAGTCTTTTACCCTATTCAATGCTACTTTCGTCGTCAGACTCGATACCTGTTGACAATCTATCCATTTCGAACCTGCATCTACCATTATAAAATATTTCTTCCTTTCATATTCTAAAAAATCTACGTGTATTCCTTCACAGGGTACATCTGTTTCTGGCCATTTGTCTCCCCTAAATTTTGCAGGTATATTCGCACACTTATTACATGTTTCACAACTCTTAGATAATTCTTCAATTTCATTATTCATTCTGGGCCACCAAATGTATTCCCTCGCCTTATTCTTCATTCTTTCTATGCCCTGATGTCCTGTGTGCATGGCTGCTAACATGTCTTTCCTTAACCTACTTGGTATCACTAAACGATATCCACTCATTAAACAATTGTCTTCTATATTCAAATCACCTCTACTGTTCTTAAAGGCCTGGTCTCTATCTTCCCATTCTTTATATCCCTTCAAACAGGCTCTAATTCTCATTAATTCTTCATCCTGCTGAGAAATCTCGTCTACTAGCTCTAAAGTTATCGGTCTTTCTCTTGTGTCTATCTTTAAAGCTCTTATCACATTACTATTTAGTTCCTCTTCTTCACTATATTCTAAACTATTTATTATTGGCTCTATTTCCTTGTCTTCTAAGTCCTTATCCCATAATCTCGATAATATATCTAGTAAACAATTTTGTTTACCCGCTCTGAATCTTATTTCGAAATCAAAATTCCCTAACAACATCAGCCATTTCTGTAACCTTGGAGACATCATCAACTCATTATTATCTCTTTTAAAAAGCCCTACCAGCGGTTTGTGGTCTGTATATAACACAAATCTCTAACCTAACAAATACTCTCTACATTTGGTCAAACCAAACCTGACTGCTAAGGCTTCCCTTTCTATGGTTGAATAATTTCTTTCAGCCTTATTAAACTGTCTTGACACAAATAAAATCGGTCTTTCTTCATCATCAACTACTTGTGATAAAGCTCCTCCTATACCTTCATTAGATGCGTCCACTGCTAAAACAATATCTAATTCCTCATTAAAGCACATCAACATAGGTTTCTCTACCAACTTTATCTTCAATTTTTTAAACTTTCTTCCTGTGCTGTTCCCCACTCGAACCTTTTATTTTCTTTAATAGACTATATAATGGTGTAGCAATTTCCGCAAAATCTTGAATAAAACGATGGTAATAATTTGTAGCTCCTAAAAATGACTGTAATTCAGACTTATTATCTGGCGCTCTCATGTTTACTATCTTGTCTATATTTTTGGCCATCGGAGTAATTACGTTTCCCTTTATAAAATGTCCTAAGTACTTTATTTCTCTTACTCCGACGCTTTTCTTCATATTAGCTTTTAAACCATTCTCTAATATTATATCTAACACCTTAACTAATCTAGCATTATGTTCTTCTTCGGTTCTACCTGATATTAAAACATCAACTAAATAATACATAATTCCCTTCAACCCTTGAAATAAAGAAGTCATTGTTCTCTGAAATATCGCAGCCGAAACTTTCAAACCAAATGGTAAGCGACAAAATGCAAATAATCCTCTATGCGTCGTAATTGTCAACATCTTACTCGTGTTTTCGTTCACTTTAATTTGTAAATAAGCGTTAGAAAAATCAATCTTCGAAAAAAATGTTGCTCCTTCTAGATTTGCTAATAATTGTTCTATCCTCGGTAATGGAAACTAACCGTGCTAATCCATGGATTTAACGAAACTCTATAATCTATGCATAACCTTAAACTATTATCTGCCTTTCTAATGGGGACTAACGGTGTCGCCCACTGGCTATGCACTATAGGTCGTATTATGCCTTCCTCTAACCATTTATTCAATTCCTTATCGACTTCTTTTAACCAAGAAAAAGGCAATCTCCTTGCTCCACAAAATTTAGGCTGGTAATTCTCTAATAATTTTATATTTACTTCAACATCCTTTAGTGTCCCTAACTCTTCTTTAAAAACCTCCAAGTATTGATCTACAACCATACTTATTTCATGGCTGTATTTATTTTCGATAATCTCTTCCTGTTCTACTGTCTTCTTAATTATCTGTTTGTTGATTTCGACGGTAACGACTTTATATCTCTTGAACTCTTATTCTCTTTGTCTCTATATTCAATTAAAAACTCTGGAGTTCGATTTCTAAGTTTATCGAGAATACATCTTGTTTATCTACTATATTAGGCAACCTAAGTTTATAGAAATCACTATCTATCCTTTCCTTATTTTCATCATTCATTCTCAAGATATTTTCAATAAAGACCGGATCTAATATTTTTATATCTCCCCAACCTAAAATTGGCTCAATATTCAAAGTAGTTATCCATAAAGTTATACTTCTATTAATTCCAGGTTTCACTACGCTGCCATCTAATTGTTTAGCTCTTATTTTTTTTATAACAAACTCTTTTTCTGGCCAAAATTTATTAAAATCCTTTATACTCATCAAACTAATTTCTGCTCCTGTATCTAATAAAAAACATATTTCAGTCTCCTCAATCTATATCCTTATTCTCGGGCATCTATTTTTCATTAAAAAATCCTCCAATTCAACTCTTCGTACGTCTACCAACGTTGCATCTTTCGACTTATATATATCAAAATTTCTCCTCTCTATCTTTATGTCTCTCATTTTATCTCTACTTCTCTTAATACCTGATTTATCATTAACAAAATTAACAAATTTATTATTCACAAAATTATCATTAAAATTATCATTCGAATTATCATTAAAATTATCAATAAAATTATCCTTAAAATTATCATTCAAATTATCATCAAAATTATCATTAAAATTATCCTTAACATTATAATTAAAATTATCAATAAAATTATCCCTAAAATTATCATTCAAATTATCATCAAAATTATCACTAACATTATCCTTAACATTATCCTTAAAATTATAATTAAAATTTAAAATTATCCCTAAAATTATCATTCAAATTATCATTCAAATTATAATTAAAATTATCAATAAAATTATCCTTAAAATTATCATTCAAATTATCATTCAAATTAACATTTCTTTCTACTAGTCATTTCTTACATCTCTCTTGTGTGTGTCCATCTTGACCACACGTATTACATCTTAATATCAAATTGTCTAATCTACATCTAATAGCTACATGGCCATTCTTGCCACATCTCGCGCACTTTAAATCCTTCGTTAAATCACATTGTCGCGACATGTGACCCGGCTGGCCGCAACTAAAACAAATTATTTGTCTATAATTATCTGTCTGAAATTATCTATATTTATCTTCTTCTCTACATCTCTCAATATATTCTTAACCTTTTCTAATTCAATAATCTCTATCTTAATATAAGCTGTACTTCTCCCTATTACACCTAACGTAAAAACAAAAATCATAATCACAAAAACTATTAAAATTATATTTTCTAAAAATAAATTCCAAATACTCATCTGATTAATATACATTATAACTTGCTTAATAAAAATCTAATTAAAAATAATTTAAAAATCCTACCAAATAATTAAATATAAAACAATTATTAATATTATAAATAAAAAGTAAAATAAAAATATCATGAATATAATTTTTTTACCTTAATTACGCTGATATATATAAAGAATTGACTTGTAATCACAATTTACTTCTTCTAAATTTTATTGTATCGTCTATCTGTTAGACAGAAAATCTGAGGTCCCTAAGTATTTCTACTCTTCGGACCAATGTCGTGTTTGGAAGTTTTAGTATAAATAATAGTTAGTTAAATATATTCAATATAAATCTAATAATCCCTTTTAAAGATACCACTTTTAAGGATATGACTTTATTATTTCCAAATACAAATCCAAAATGAAAATCGAAAATGAAATTTATAAAAATTACGAGTTTATATATAAAAAAATTGATATGCAAAAAAAAACATTTTATATGCAAAATTACAATAATCTATAGTATTATTCGTACATTTAAGTTCAAAAAAAAATTGTTTATGCAAAATTTAAAATAAACAATAATATTCTCCGTACATTCAAGTTCATTAAGGATAACTTTAATATTCATCTTTCATTTAAATATTCAAATCATATTATAAAAAAAATACATTTTTTTAAAACTTTAACAATATAAATTATAACTTGAAATTGTAGAGGCTTTACTATATAAACTAAAATGGATATACCACATATTTCATGTAAAAAGATTCAATGGATAATTTAATAAATTTGCTTACCTACCACTTTATATGGTTCTTCTAATAAGGATAGAAGATATAATAAACTAACTTAAAATTTAAATGGTTCAATATGTGAAAATAACATAATTTATAAAAACAAGTGTCATATATATATATAATATTGTCATACCATCAATAAGACTATAAGTAAAAAATATATTAAAAAACATATATACAGTTAAAATGACTAAAAAAAATTTAACAAATCAATGATTTTTATATAATAAATTTTATTCATTTGTAGTTTTATCATATCTTGTATTACGCCTTTGCCAATTGTCACAGGAATTAATAAATTTGACTACAACGTTTTTCATATTTGGCCACCAGAAGCTAAAATATAATATTAATTATGCATTTCCTATCAGCCATGACTTGATAATGTAGAAAGTAAATTAAATATTTAAATTTTATATAACTTTTTTAGATTATGAAGAAATTAAAAACTTCATAATGTATCAAAAGTACCCCACCCGTTTAGCAAAAAAAATGGGGAAAAGAGGAATTTAAGGGTGAAAGCATCTAGGTTTACTATGCGCAAAGAAAAACTGTGAACTGTTTTAATAAGTTCAATTCGTGATGACTTCACCATTGTGTGTATGGTGATATAATTTTTCTTTGTGCATAGTAAACCTAGATGCTTTCACCCTTAAATTCCTTTTTTCCCCATTTTTCTTTGCTAAACGGGTGGGGTACTTTTGATACATTATGAAGTTTTTAATTTCTTCATAATCTAAAAAAGTTATATAAAATTTAAATATTTAATTTACTTTCTACATTATCAAGTCATGGCTGATAGGAAATGGTCAAAAAAAATAATTTTATAAAATTTATGTTTTTTGATTGACAAGTTAGAAAAAATTGAAATTAAATTATAAATCATTTTTTAAAAATATATCATTATTGCAAATACATTGGTAAAAACTTACTCAGATATGTAAATACATTATAATAGAAGGATAAGTATTAAATTTACTCATTAAAATAGGCCATAAAGAATGATTTAAATACATGAGTGATTCTAGCATGTTGCACCGGGCTTGAAAAATTAGGCCCGATGCAGATCACTAATTCTTAGTGCAAATGCAATATTTTTATTAAAAATAGTATAATATATGACTAATAATTCATTATTATTACATTTTGAATATAAAAACTTTAAAACTAAGATCATGTTATAATAATATAGCAATTTTATAATATGAATTTATAAAAAGAGAGGTCTACTTTTCTCTGAGATTTGACTAATTCATCTAGAATCAAATTTTTATTTAGAATAATCTCCTTATATATATTTAATATTGCGAATCCATTTAACCGGCTTTCACCGGTGCTATTTCTTAAATAAGTTTTTAACCTTTTCAAAGTTGAAAAAGACCTTTCATTAGTGCAGGTGCTAATCGGTAAGGTAGCTAAGATAAAAAGCAATGTTTTGATATTAGGCAGGAAATCTAAAGTGCAATTATACATGGAAAGGGCCTGCAAAGCATATTTTTGTCTCAAAGAGTACTCTATTCTGTCAAAATTTTTATACCAAAATTCGACATCACAAAGTAATTTATCATACGATCCTGATAATTCATCAGAATAAAATTGAGATTTTCCTAATATCCTCTCGCGTTTCAAGTGTATTTAGACTCAACCGGCAAAAGAAAATAAAAGTTGTTTAAAATAAAATTGTGACTAATAAATCTTTCCTTTAATTGAAATAAAAATGTATCAATAAGGGGAGTAAAAATATTTATTTTATAAAAATCAACCGTAGATGCAACAATATTTAAGCGATTGGACTATCTAGAAACTAATCTAGTTTTAAAAATTTTAATCCCAAACATATTAGCGATCACCTTTACTTTATCATTATATTTACCAAATTAAATGATTTTTCTGTTATTTAAAAATTATAAAAAATTACTATTTTATCCTTAATACAAAATTTTGTAGAATCTTTTTTAAAATATCTTAAATAAAAATTTGTAGAAAAAACTATTTTAAAATATCTTAAATAAAAAATTGATATATAAAAAAAATTACATAAAAAATAATAATACCCCCCCCCCCCCGAAAGTGGCAATAACCGAAAAATTATATAAAAATAGTTTTCTTGATAATGATAATTATTAATATTCTGACGAAAATAAAGAAATAGTAAAATAATAGGTCAAAATTTCCCAAGATCAAATTTAATATGCTAATTTATATTAAAGAAAATTGATTTACAAAACCTAAAACTTTAATTTAGACCAGATGATTGATCAAGTTGCCAATGTA